GGTTTGTATTGCGGCGAAATTCGCGTCAAGCGAGTTTGTACTAAGGAGGGTTTACTGTAAAATGTTTCATAGTTCTGACCGGCAACTGGTATACTTTCGGAAACATAGGTTTTTGTCGAGCCTTGACATGATATGCGTGTATTCGCAGTGTTGTCGGAGTCTTTTACATAGTCTTGTTTTTAAGCTTCACGAAATAATGTTTCAGAGCAACAGTTGTCCCCCCTGCAGCATCGCTGACATCTAGAGTTCAACGCCCGAAGTTGGTGAATTTTCGACATTTGCTACACAATTAGGTCGAATTCAGTCGCTGCCTGGAAGAGAATTTTAGAGCCCAGCTGCTCTAATGGGTAGTTTCCCATGGTTTCTTCGTAGAATATGAGATAAATGCTGCAGTAGTACCTTAACAAACGGGTCGCAGGCAGCGTGCGATATTTTCTTTCTCATACCTGTCCACCTGTTATTTCTTTATTTCTTTTTGTCTTTCTTTCTTCCACTATTTCTTTAAATTTTCTCTTCGTATGCAACGGTAAAAAAAGCTAGTGAGATTTGCGGCCAACTCCCTATATTTTCGAAAATTGCAAACGCTAACATTGTAAAATTACAATACTGAAAACATGGATTTTAGTCTTAAATGAAATCAGTTCTAAAAAATTAGATCTTTAAAAAATATCATGTACAGTTTTTTGAAAAAACTAGTAGGTTTCGCGTAATTTCGGCTTAAAGTTAATGCAATTTATAAAAGAAAATCAAAAAACGCCCCATTTTTTCTTTAAATTTTGCCAACAATAGAACAAGGGATGCTTAAAAGGATCATTTCGTCGAACTCTCAATATTTGAAAACTACGAAAGTTTTCATGAGAGAACACCACAAGTTGCATTTACAGCTTATATAGTACTAGCTGATTACATCGCTTTGTCCCGGTATTTTTTTTGTCAGGATCTATTATTTACCGATTAATGGCATTTTATGAGTTTTGGAATCATACATCAAATGTACTGAAATAAAATTTTGTTTTAGCAATAAATCAATTGAGTTGAGTGTCATAACATGCAATATAAAAGAAATCAAGGAACAAAAAACAAAAAATTAAATAAAATTGACATTATAATAGTGCGAAAACTTTTGATCATTTTGGGCTACAAACAACAATAATGCATTTTGTGTCATGGAAAATAAAATATGAAATATGAATAAAAATACTGTATTCAATATAAACCGTAAAAGTACAAACTTGCAAGGAAAACACCATCGCTTGCTCTCCACTTTGTCATCTTTCACATGTTTGCATGCTGCTCGTCTTGTTTGATCTATTAGTCGGGTGAAAAAAATTGCACTGGTGCATTTTTTAGAAATGTGCGAGAAATGATAACAAAAAAGAAAGATTTGTTAGAAAAATGTTGGGCCAAAATATAAATTACATGGTTGAAGCCAATAAATTCTTCTTTGATAACTGCACATCTTCTAAATTCGGAACGCAGTCTCAAAGCTCTAATAATATACCTTTACTCTATAAAAAATGTAAATAAAACGTCATTATAAAAATTCTAAAATTTAATAATTGAAAGTAAGTTTAATCAGCAGGAAAATGTCCATCTCCTGGTCCTTGGAAGTCATTAAATTTCGCCTCTCTCTCCTTAGTTAATAAAGAATTTCTTCTATGAGATGGCGAGACGAAAAAGCAATTGTGATAAGCCAAAGGTGTCACATTATTTTGCATGGGAGTATTTGCATCAAGGGTGCAATTACGAGGGAAGAGAACGTATACAAAACGTTTAGAAGCCAAAGAATAGATGTTAAGGCAACGAATCAATAAATATAAGATTCCATGCCAAAGTGCCACCACGGCCCAGTAGACATTACATGCAATATGTGGGAAACAGTCATTGAAAGCCGTGATATTGCAAAAACGAGGAAATGATCAATGATCACTACCTTAAAATTTGTTGACCTGGACACATGTAAGCAATTGATGTGATGTGAATGTTAGTTTTCAGTATAGTGTGGGTTTGTTTGTAAATAGTATTGAAGCGTGTAAATGAGGATTAGTGTTGATAGATTGATTAGCATTGTGCAGAGTCAAAGTTTGAATCTGTTAGTAATGTTAAATTATACTCGTGATTTGATTTTGTTAAAGTAGTTCTGACGTTTAAGTCAAACGGACTTCGTTTTTCGAATGAGGTTTATGTCAAAGTAGCTTTGTAGATGTAATTTTTATTAAGTCTGTTGAAAATATGTAGTCACGAATAGGGGTTTTACCCGAAGCCAGTGAGGATAGGTCATATCGAGATATAATTTGAGGAAATCTTTAAATTACAGAAAGCATCAAATGATCAAGGACACTATGGGAATATTTGGGAATTTATTCGGACTATAAGCAAAAACATAATAGTTGGGGTGCCGAGGACATGACATGGACCACAGCCGAGAAGAACATTTGAAAAGTTAGCAGTAAGCTTACGAACATTATTTCAAAAACCGCATGATACATTGCTAAAATTCAGACAAAAAGTTAATTACTTAATTCACGAGCTCCCGAAAATTGTGTAAAATATTGCAATAAATGTTGAGTTTGAGTTTTAAAAGGAAAAAAGCAGATAACTTCCCATAGTTGCCATCAATTTAATAATTAGTTTATTTTGCCGAACTACCAAGAACCTTGATTCCGTTTGGATTTACACGTACACATGCAGCAGGTAAGATGAGAAATGTTGTATGTCGAACTCGTAATTCCATTTTTAAGCGAAGTTAGTATAATAACATTTCCATATTGAAAAAATTTATGAGCATAGTAGGGCAACGAAAGAAATAAGTTACACTCATAAAATCAGTAGGATTGTTACAAATTGCTGTCCAAGAGGAGCAATGAAATCAAATATTAAATATCTGAATAAATAGGAATATTACCGAATGAACTCACAAATAACAATTTCATTAATAATTATAATTACCAATAATGTTAATAACATATTATAGCAAAACCTGCTTGTTCATTCCAATATAAAACAGAAAATTTCGTCATACATACTTCGCCTTATCGATATTCCATTTGCAATCACCAGAATAGGATGTCACGAATATAAACTTCCGAGAAATCGAGGAAATTAAGTTTTACATTGAAATATCAAGAAATTCACATTAATAAGGCCTTAGAGGTGGAGAATGGATACCGATAATTTTTCTCTTTTTCAAAGCGTCTATATTTCGGTTACGAGTTTTTATTGTATTCAGTACGAGGACAGAATTAATACCAAAGTAAAAGATGAAATCATAATTCAAGACAGTAGACACTTGACTGTTCGGAAGACGACTCACCTTAGGAACAGATGCCGTTTCGGCCGTCATAGTTTAACCTTCCTCAAAGCAAAATTGTGCTACGAGATGGGGATATCGTCACGATCGAATTTTGCCCTGAAGAAGGTAGCAGTATGACAGCTGAAACGTTAGCAGGACGCGACGTCTCCCGGACAGTCAAGTTTCCATTGACTACGGCAGATTTGACTCTAGCCACTTATGCTTTCACACTACTCTATCTCCATAAATGAAGGGGGGCGAGAGTAAAAGACTGATATCTACAAAGTTATAGTTTTTGTGCTATTAACATGTTCGTACACGTCCGCCTACCTACCCATGCATGTGGTTCTCAAATAGGCCAAAATGGCGCGTAGTGGTCTCCCGGCTGTTCCATCTTTATGTGCTTCATTTAAACCCCTTTCTGCAAAAAAAAAATCACCTGCTTGTATCTCGCAAATATCTCCACGTGGGCAACCATGTTTTATATCCGCACCCTTCAAATATTATCTCGCATTCACAAGGTGCGTACGACCAGTCCTAGCGATCTGGCCAGCCCTGATCCGGCGGTGTCCCCCCTCCCCCTCCGCGCTCCACCCCCACCACCACCAACCACCGCCGCGCGCGGCCACGGGGCTATGCGCACGCGTGCACTTTCCCCCCTCCCCCCACACGCACCCCCGCGCGCCGGCGGGCGGCAGCAGCAACAGGAGGCGGCACGCCCCCTCTCGCCTCAGCTCCGAACGAAGATAAATCGAGGTGACGACCAACTCCAGTCATTCGAGTTTAGTCCCGCTATTCGAGTCTTGGAGTTATACACGTTTAACTGTAGGGGATTGATGAAAACCTAATCATAAAAAAGTAAGTATTAACAAATCTAAAACCATTAATTATCTTTTTTAAAGTATTAGTGATTTTGTTTAATATATTAACAAATGTAAATAGACAATTTTCTATCCTTTTGGGGGGGGGGGGACTTAGTAGCGTCATGATAGAAAAAGGGAAGATGACTTAAATGAAAAAAACATTAGGGAAACAATAAGAGAACCGAGACAGTGTTCGGGTATGAGAAGTAGGAAAATACATTTTCTATAATTTTTACCCTCACCAATAAAAAGATTGATATAATTTACAAAATAAAAATAGGACTAAGAATATTGATATTAATATAACCTTTGGTACAAATTAATTTGTTCGTGTTTGATATATCTTCATACAGGTGGTTAACCACATGCAGGGTGCGTAAAAGGCAAATAAATCGAATTTCAAGTTGATTTTTAAGTTCGGTAAAATATATGATGGAATTAGCTACATTAGTTTTCAAGAAAATATCAGAACGTAAGAGCGACAAGACTCGGCTTCTTCATAAAAGACTACAATACCGATTTAGCGCAAAGTGTCTCTGGTACAACTCTGGTTTTATGAATGCGGGAACAACAGTTGAAAGTCGACTATGTTGTTGAACAGTTAGAGAGACTATGATACTGTTAATCGATTCCTAAGAGAAACTAAAGGTAGAAGATCATTTGACGTTACCAAAACGTACACCCAAACTAGTCAAAGAGTAGACATTCGGTGTCAAAAGCGAACTGTGTGCTGGCCAGCCCCGGTCCAGCGGTGTGTCCCCTCCACCTCCCAGCATCCCTCCCCCACTCCCACTTATCCACGCGCACGCGTGCACCCCCTCCCCATCACATACACACACACTCACCGTGCGCGGCGACGATCGCCAGCAGCAACAGGAGGCGGCACGCCCCCGGCGAGGCGATGGCGGCGGCGGTGGGTCCCGTGGGGGTTGTCATCGTCTCGCGCGGCTGCTTCACACCTGCGGCCGCGTCGGCAGCGGCGACCTCTCGGCGGGGCGGTCGGGTGGCGACTGCCGCGCGCCGGCCCCAGAGCGCGCGCGCGAGCCACGACGCGACCGACGCGACGCGACGCGGAGCCTCCGGCAACTATCTACTTGCCCCCGTGATAACGTGTGAGGCCAGGGGTCGGAAAAAGCTTTGCGAACAGAAGTTTGTAAACGAAAAAAAAATTAACCCTCGAGATGTGATATTCATCAGCAAGATGAAGGTGTCAAAATGTCTTAAGTCACTCGTAATTATTTTCACTTCTAAGAAATAATATTTATTATTATCATTGTTGTAATTATGCTCATTGATATTTTTTATTAAATTAAAGGAGAAAAGACGAGTGAAATTATCTGAGGAGAGTTGACATCACATAACTCATAAGTCAGTAACGTGCGAGGTGGCGCCATGATCAAAAAGATCCAATTTATTCGCGTCTTCGCTCTATTATTTTCTCCCTAATGCAGAAGGGAAAACATTATTTTAGGGTCCACCTGCCCCCGACAGACCAGAGGCCTAGCTGAACTCATGCAATTACACCGACTTAGGGGGCTCAGGTTTTTCATTAATCCTTCTATGAATTCAGGGTTTTTTTTTTTTTTTTTTTTTTTTTTTTTTTTTTTTTGTCGACGCGCTGATTCCGAATCTGAAGCCAGAATTACGCCACCACCCGCCAGTCCTTTTTCGTGAAAAATCACCATGAAATTGTAAATTGTAACGCTGATTCGGATTTAGCAGACTACTGACTGCAGATACCAATTTAGCGCGTTGACATATGTAGGGAACCATGTGTCAAGTTTTTGGCTCAAACAACTTTTGTCTTGCGTAGAGAGCGATAATGGTACACGACAACAAAATCTAATATTGAAATGCGATATTGTTTTTCGCGATTTAAAAGAAACTGGAGGGCAGTGGCGCAATTCTGACTTCAAATTCGGATTCAGTGCGTCCACATTCGTAGAGGAACATGTATCAAGTCTGACACTTTTTTTTAATTTTTGTGTGCATTTGTAATCATTTAATCGTAAAACTAAGACCATACATACAATAATATTTTACCAGATACCAGCTACTCTGATAATTTTTTTCATGTCCGGATTTATAAACAGAACACAAGTGCCTTTAGTGAAAGGAAAATTTTCTAGGGAACAGAACTTAACGTTCAAATCCATTTGGATTTCAATGTAACAAATTCATGAAGTAATCACTGGAACGAAGTTGTATTTCATGTTGCAGTAGTCTGCTTATTTCTTTAGATTTATTACTGACTTAGACGATGATTTCTATGATGTGAGCTACCTATGGGACTCTTCACATTTGTCTATCATCGGTATAACAACTGAACGTGCAACCTGCAGATCCTGGCGAGATCTGTGTATTTTCACAAGGAGAACAATCCGCGATAGGCTGGGTCAAGATTCTGACAATTAAAAAATATGAAAAATTAAGTTATCTAATAATGATATTTTCGACCAGATCCGCAACAATTGTTACAGAGGGATATAATACCATTGCTGTGACTCATACAGTTCCTGGCGGAGAAAGCAGGAGATAACATTTTTGTCCCTAGAATGGTGCCAATAAACTCCCACCAATGCTGTTTGATGCCTCCCTTGATCCAATTTTAGTACTTAAGAATTAAACAAAACAGAGTTGTAACAAAAACAATCTCAGAACTGTTTCACATGGACAAAATAGTTATCCCTACACTATGACACGCTACCATGTGATACGCTAAAATTAGCACTATGACACGCTAAAATTTAGAAAAAAACTCGTTACAATAAGCTTAGCACACTAAATCCGAAACATTCTAGTATGTTGAAGAAGGAACTTTTCGCCACAAAAGTGTATGCACTACGATGGGAAAATTAAAAGCCGTTTAGTGATAATTTGCATACTAAAATATTTTCTGAAATATTTTTTTTACCAACGTAAACCTCAACTGGTTTGCACTCAATGAAGAGAAATCATGATTTTTAGGAAACTGTCGCACGTGTCAGAAAGCGCTAATTCCGACCCCTGGCCAAGACGTGGGCGATCGAAGTGTTTATATGCCTCGGGATGTAAACGCTTTTATGGACGTCCCTTTTTCTAAACGGAGTTCGCACACGTAGAGTCTGTTCGTGTTTCGGCGACATCGTTTTCTAACCCAGTCTGTTTGCACTGTTGTGTACTGCATTACTGTTTACTCATTTCTCTTAAAACCCCTATATAAATTACTGGATGCTGGATAAGGCGAATTTGTTGAATCACGAAGCCAGAATGTGAATGTGACAGAATTTATTTCCAGTAAATTCCAGGTACTCAGTGCACAACTCAGGATTGGCATTCTGATCTTTGAACCTGTTAGTCGAAGAAAAGTGTTTGACTAGCTGTGTGTGTATTATTAGCTTGTTATGTCCGTAGATGGAATACTAGACATTTTGGCATTGCATAAAGCCACATTAGCCGTATTGAAATTCACATTGAATGCATAGGCAAAAATTTAAACATTACATTCGAAAATTCAAAGTCGCAGTTTTTGAACTTCAAGAAAAATTAAAAATTGTGCGTTTTTGGAACCTTCAAGTTTTCATCGAGGAAACGATTCCTTGAATTACTCTTCTGCTTTCAAAGATGTGATTCCAAGGAGCAGGAGCGTCATTTCTCTTCGATACTTTTCCTTCACACTACCATGTGTTACTGCTAGTAGTCAAAAGCAATGGGACAAGCAACATTAAAGATTGTCACAACGTTCTGATCCATGTGTCTCACATATGAGAAACGTCATTTTTTACACAATAAAATGAACGTTGAAGCGTTGAGCGTTGAAGAATTGGACGTTGAAGAAGCGTCTTAATTTGTTGATACAGAAAAGTAGACACCTGGAAATGGGCATACGTCACTTTCAAAATAAGATCTTCAATTATTGTTTAAAACGATTCATTAAAATATAATTTCTTAATGATATCTTATTTGAAATCGCTTTTTTATTTATTTCTTTATTGTTATATTTGTTTGTATGAATAACTTTATTTTATAAAATAAATAAAATTATATTTGATTATAGTTTAAGCAAATAGAATATAATAGTATATACAATACCTTTTATACTATTTGTACATAAACATTTTAACTGACATATAAACCAGCATAGCATAACTTGTATATTTTGAATTACATTGTAATGATGCGTTTCATAATAACAATCCTCAGCATATTCTTTTGTGAAATGTCCAACACGTGTTACAAATTAACTGCCACTGCTCATTTTCTTCCCTCAAATTAAAACGATGGCGAATAATGTCCTATTTGCGAAATTGTGTTGAAACATCTGTTGATTTAAGTCACTGATAATATTTGAATTAGTGTTTTAAACTGCTGACTTATTCCATTGTCACCCCAGTGGCGCGTAACACACTCAGGCAAAAGAGATCGTAAGACGAGCCGATGCGAATGGGTGTCGGGTTTAGCCGCCAGGGGCTGTAAAGACTTTCATGAACGCTACCTGGTTCGTAAACAGGGACAGGCACGTCACCCCCTGCGATGTAACGCTGTAGGTCAACGCCAAAGGTTCTTGGGACTCGCAGGTCATCCGTGTACCTGGACATAAAAAATGGCTTTAAGACGCTTTGAGAAGACGGGTCGCGAAAATGGTTTCCTTTTAGCGTCACAATGCAGTACCACGTGAATAAAAAACACTCATTAACTTAATGTTTTAAAACATTTTAAATAGGTTTAATTTCACCCACTTCATTTTCATTTCATTGACACTACCACTCACTGTTTCAAATAAATCTTGTGACATTATTGTACGTTTTAAATTCTGAAGAACTTTCAATTCTCACATTCGTCACGATTACTACCTCGTATGTAGATGAGAAACAGCGCAGTGTAGCCAATATCATTATTCTTAACCATTACAAGACACAAGAAGGTAATCTGAGCACCTTCCCTAACCATAGAATTAAACTTCTCTTTGTCCACTACTATTTAGGCTACGTTTTTGATAGGCAAACCAGCGATTTCGATTGTCCCTAATGTCGCTTCAATAACGGCCATTATACGATTTTTCACCAACTCCGCGACAGTAGTATACTTCTCTCACACGCAGCTATTATTTCGGCAAAACTGGCTCGCATTGCAGCAGTGTCTGCATTTATTACTATTATACTTATAAGTCAATAAGCTAACAATATGTAAGTTAATCAGTAATTTTATGTTAAGTAAGTAAACAGTTAAGAATAAGAGATGAGATTTCCTGGAGAAGAAAGCGGAAGATAACATTTTTGTCCCTAGAAATGGTGCCAATAAACTCCCCACGCCAATGCTGTTTGATGCTCCCTTGATCAATTTTAGTACTTAAGAAATTAACCACACAAACAGAGTTGTAACAAAACAAATCTCAGTTGTTTCAACCAGTCTTGAACAAATAGTTATCCCTACCTATGAGCACGCTATCTTTTGTGGATACGCTAAAATTAGGCACTAGACCGTGCTAAAATTTAGCAAAAAAACTCGTTACAATAGCTTAGCAACACTAAATCCGAAACATTCTAGTATGTTGAAGAAGGAACTTTTCGCCACAAAAGTGTAATGCACTCCGATGGGAAATTAAAAAGCCGTTTAGTGATAATTTGCAGGTCTAAATATTTTCTGGCAAATATTTTTTTTACGAACGTAACCTCAACTGGTTTGCACTCAATGAAGAGAATCATGATTTTTAGGAAACTGTCGCAGTCGTCAAAAAGCGCTAATTCCGACCCTGGCCAAGACGTGGGCGATCGAAGTGTTTATAATGCCTCGGGATGTAAACGCTTTTATGGACGTCCCTTTTTTCTAAACGGAGTTCGCACACGTAGAGTCTGTTCGTGTTTTCGGCGACATCGTTTTCTAAACCCAGTCTGTTTGCACTGTTGTGTACTGCATTACTGTTACTCATTTCTCTTAAAACCCTATATAAATTACTGGATGCTGGATAAGGCGAATTTGTTGA